TATGAAAACTATTAACTCAATATCCAGCTTCTCTCCCCTCTTTGGAGGATGGGAGTGTGGACTGAATCCCCCTTGCTTCTAAGCATTAGTTGGTCTTACAAGAGCCCAGGCCCCATCCTGAAGCAATGCAGGAGTCCACCAAACATGGCCTCCTTACAACAAAAGACGCCTAGCACTCAGGAAATTCTAAGAGATTTAGGGGCCCTGTGTCAGGAACTGGAGTTTAAAACTAAATATCTGCATTATTCTTATTGCTTAGCAAATGACAAAAGGTTTTAGGATGGGTGGCCAGAAACCTGGAATGAAGGCCAACGTGTATGTGTGTGTATATGTGTGTGTGTGTGTGTTTTATGATCACAATATCACAGGGATATATTCCCATGGAGTTAATCTTGACCAATGGAAATCAGGCAAGAGGGATATACTATGAAGATCTTTTCACATTCCTTTGTCTCCTACTTGGATCACTTGCAAGTGGTTTTGATGACTTTCCAGAGAAGAGATATGCACCTAGCATACACATCTGATTTGGGGGTTCATTGTGAAATTAGTGACCAATGCAATGGTGCTGCACATTTACCATCTTCACATCTCTGGTTCTCACCCCAAACACCCTGGGACTGTATCTACCATGTAAATTCTCAGCGCTTTAGTGGCTGCTTCAAGCTTTGCTTTCTAAATACCTCGGTGTTGATAACTGAGTACAGAATTATAGGTTGAACATAATTTCCAACAAAACTTTTGGGGTTTTAATCCAGGATCTTAGAGCTTTTTGTACTGCTTAAAGCAGTTTTCTTGCTCCTTTGTGAGATAACTTTTGTGATTTGTCTTATTTTGCTTTAATTTTTCCTCTCATGAGGTTGCTGCAATCTTAGATTTTGTAATGGGTTTACAGATTATGTAATGTTGGAACTTATTTTCTGTGTATCAGTTACTCAGTGGACCCTAGCAGTAGAATGCTTTGTGCAAGATTTATTTTCCTCCTGGGGTTTTATAGCTTGCGTCCATGGACTCAGACAAGGTAGAGTGATGGGCACATTGTATGAAACACCCACTCAATAGAAGCTGTCAGAAGTTAATGACGCTGATGTGTGAGTCCCCAACTGGAGGACAGGATGGTCAGATAGCTCTATTGACATTGAGGAGCGGGATCTGGAGTAAAACTACATGCCAATAGCATGCCCTAGGGGATGTCAGTCCATACAGATGCATTAATTATCATCAGGAGATGTTTAGCTGGCATGAATCTTCTCTTTTCTTATCAACCACATGCAAAGTGTACTTGTCCAGGAAGGACAAAGATGATTCACTTCTTCTGTTCTGAATCCCCCGCATCCGACTTGAGTTATTTCTATAAGAGTGGGTTAGTGGTGTTATTGTGACTTCAACTGGGAATTGCATGACTGAAAAGAGAAAGTAATGTTTAGCAATTAAGTGATCTCATATCATGCTAAACGTAACAATTACTTAATATTCTAATATAATTTTAAAATTTATGATGATCTTCTGAGCCTATTTTTTAGAAACTATAAATCATGTTTGCCGGATTTGGAACAGGCTTCTCTGAAGAATAAAGTTTCAGAATACAATGCCTTGGGCTGCTTCTAAAAGTCAGACAGGTACAGTCACTAAGTCATCAGCTTTCAAACTAGTATCTATAAGTTCACAGCAGCTGCTGGTCCTGTAAATCTTTGTACTTCCTCTTGTCCTAAAACATTATATGTCAGTATTTGGTTCCTTCTGATTCTTTACAGTCCCGATTTCTTGAAAATTTGCTAAACCGTAGTAATATTTTTAATTTAATGTTATTATATATATATGGATTTCATATCATTATTCCTTTTTTGTACAATGCATGCTTTCTCCTTTCAGGTGTCGTGCCCATAAAATCCGCCCACCAATCCATTCCTTGTGTTCTTCCCTCCCGTTTGATCCCTCTCCTCCCCCTGCCCTGCAGAATGTCTCTGATTTATATTTTCCTGTTAATTTTGTTTCATTTCTTACAGCTATTTTTTTCTTGGTCCCTTATTTGGTTTCTCTATGGTCCTCCTATAAGTGAAACCATCCAATATTTTTTCTTTTTCTTTCTGGCTTATTTCACTGAGCATATTACCTTCCAGCTCCATCCATGTTGCTGCGGATGGCATGAGTTTATCTTTGTTGATTGCTGAATAGTATTCCATTATGTCTCTATATCACTTTTTCTTAATACTGTCATCTATTTTTAGCAATAATTTTTCTAACTGGAATATGTGATTTAAGTTGTGTCATCCTCCACCCACCACAGGATAATAATGGCTGCATTTTTTTTTTTTTCAAAGAATTGGGTCACCTGCTTGCTAACTTGTCAAGATTTTAGAAATCTGTGGGGGTCAGATTTTCTAGCCTCTGTCAGCATTTTATTTGGTTTCTGCTCCACAGCATTCACAATTGAGAAATTCTGTTCTTTTTAACTTTGTTTCCTTCTCACACAATTTTATTTCATAACTCTGTAGCACACACCATATGAGAAATGACTGGCCATTCCCTGCCAGAAATAAAAGCTTATAAGTAATATAAATATTAAACGGTATTTAATAAACATTACTGAGTCACTAGAGTCTCCTTTTCTTCAAGCAAAATAATTCTGATTTAAAAATAAAAAATTAGGTTCTGTGGGGTAAATGGTGAGGTGGGAGGGGCCAGCTTCCCTGTTGAATCACAAAGATCAATAATTGGACAGTTAGTTGTCCATGAACAAAAGCGCCTCTGGGAGACTTCTAGAGCCTACTTAAGCAACTCTGTGGAATGACAATCAGAAAAGAAATAAACAACAACTGAGAAAAATGACAGGAGAAGAAAGACAATCAGTTTGCCTGCATCATCCCATTTCCGCATCTGGCATAGTTTAGCATCAAGAAAGAGTTCCTCAATCCAGGAGAGGAAGAGCAGGGCGAGGGAGCAGGTTCTTCAGTCTCAGACCCTGAGTGAAGGTCCTGCTTGTTTCGCCCCACACAGACCTAAGGAGACTCAATGAGCTAGCCAGGAAGGAAGAGAAGCAGGACAAATCCAGCTTCATGGAACCCTGCCCTGTGCAGACAGGCTTAGCAGGTTTTGCCACTGATGAAGCCAATGGCCTGCAAGGCTGCCCCAGACCCCCTGCAGATCTTGGCAGCTTTCACCCAGCAAGAAAATCCTTTTGCTGACACCAGCCGAGTCCTTGCCCATCTCCTCCCCTTCCCTTCCTGCAGGAGCTGAGACCACACTGGCAGCCATCCAAGGGTTCTGTGGCTGGGCAAGTATAAAACCTCCACCCTCCGAGCCCCTCTCTGCCCCCACCGGAGCCCAGAAGCTATCTGCATCCTTGGGCTTCCACTTCCATGTATGCGCACAGAGCCTGTGTATCTGACGCCACTGGCCCGACACCTGTGATGAATGTTCTCTGGATCACGCATGCATGGGGTGTGGGCAGTGGTGGTGGGAGGTGAGTGAGCATCTGCGTGGCCAGAGCCTCCTGCAGCTGCTTGTGGGCCCAGATTCTGCCCTGCCTTGTGTGACTGGCCAACAACACTGTGCCCACCTCTTGTACCCTGTAGCCCAACCTCCGTTACCAGCCTCCACGGTATGCATGAAGGAGAGGGGGCAGTGTGGGCCACAGGATGGCACACTGACAGCAGCCTCTGTGGCTGCCAGCGAGCCCATGGGTGGCCCCAACACCCCCAAGAGTCTGCAGTTGGTCCCAGCCACATGGGCACCTGCAGTTGGTTCCCACACGGAGTGCACACCACAGTCCCGGTCGCAACCACTACCTCTCTGGTCCATAGCTACGGACCGTGGCCAACAGCCCCAGCAGCCACTGCACCCACCCTGCCGTGTTTCTCAGAGCTGCCATTGCTCAGGACACCAGTGGCCTGAGCAGAGACAGCCCACTCCTCAAGCCCCGTGCGGCCACATGTCCCAGCACACCTGCACCACCGAACCAGCAGTCATGGCACCCTCCAGGGTGCCCCCACCCACAGGCAGAAGGCTTCTCGAACGGAAGTCAGGCCATAAAAACTAGATGTGACTATTTCTTTAGCTGTGCAGAACTTTACTCTGTGCGCTTTACATAGCACACAGTTTTGTCAGTTTTACCTTGATGAGACTGAAACAATACAAATAAATAAAAGTAAAAATTATAAGAATTGTTTTAATGAGTTGTTTCTAAACGAAGACACCAAGATGCTTAGGTGGTATAACCTAGAGATTTGGGCCCCTGTCCGCCAATTAGTCATAGTGCAGCATCTGGACCCAACACAACAGCTTGGACAATATCCTTGCCACTCACTTCCGCCTTGTCAGATCGGCTAGTGAAGGATAAAGAATATGGATTTTTGTGCAGAAAGATGTGGACCGAATGTCGACATAGTTACCTGCTAGTGGAGGTCTAGTTGGTGCCAATCATTACCCTCTCTCAACTCAGTTTTCTTATCTACAGAGCTGGCATCAAAGGCTACCCTCTAGGGTCCCCAAGGAACGAAGGGCTGAAGGGATGTGAAATGTCCGGCAGGTCAACAGCATTAGTATACTGTTAGTTGTTCCAGGTAATGATATTGCTTCCCATGGCAGCCTTTGCTGACTTCCATAGAAGCAAATGGCCACATCTCTATCCATTTCCTAGACAGTGCCAATCGCTTGTTGACTCCTTCAGAACAATGGCCAGCAGGAGCCATGAATACACCCGTGCATGTGCGCATACATTATCTGATTGGATAATACTTAATTGCAAAGTTAGAAGCAAGAAGATAAGTGGACATGAAAAAAAGGGGGGTCTTATATTAGGGCTTCTCTATCTTTGAAATCCTGTGCATGGTGTGAGGTGACGCTCCCTTCTCCCTTAGACCATTTATGCCAGTGCTGCAAGGGCTCCCGGGATGTTATGCTCAGTGTTGTCATAACCAAAATCGCAGAGAATTTCAACCCCACTGAGGCAATAAAAATCTTTACTATCTGAATTTTATTTTAATATCGAGATCAATAACACAGACATCAAGAGAGCTCATTCATTTTAATAGATCAGCAATTTCAATAATGGTTCCTAGGAATTATCTCCTAGCCCGCCCCCCAACTATTCATATCAAACACCTACGAGTATTCAAAATTCATAAAGATAATATTGCAAAAGCAGGAGAACTAACAAAAATCTTCATAGCCTTGAGATTACAAGCAATGCTTAATCATTTGCTCAACACCTATTACTAAATGCTGAATGCTAAATGCTGAAAGCTTGGGAGAAGGATAAAGGAGGCTTTCATAATGGCAAGCACTTGGACACTCATTTTTCATCTCATAACCAGGATAACACAGGGCAGATACCTTTGTTTCAGTAACGATGCTTGTGTCAAAAGCAGAAAACCCTGGAAAAGCCTTTTCAAAGAAAGAATGGAATTGTTTTTACCTATGCCAAATAGGTCAGGTCCAAGATTCTCAGACTCATAAGTGAGGTTCCCTCCTGTACATATTCTGGTATAAAGAACTGAAACTATGGACATAGACCGTGGGGCACAGTAAGAACACAATAAAATCTGTTGGATGGATGAACAGAAGTCTGGGGTGCACACGAATAGGCTAGACCTGAGTTTCTCTAAGCAGAAAGCTTCCTGGGCGTCTTGGGGTGCCTTGGTAGCCCAAGGAACAACTAGCTTTTCCCTAGTGCATACTACTCCCCTGAATAAAGCCAACCACCATCAAAACTTGTGATTACAATTTCAGATTCAAGCCTGTATGTCATCAAAATAAAGTGAGTATGTGTATGCCTCCTTCGATGACATCAATACATTCAAAATGCTTAGAAATCTGACCTAGAAAGTGAATCTAGAAAGTGACCTAGAAAGTGACTCTAGCTTTCCCTTTTGCCTTTGTTGCTCTCATTCTCCTTTTCTCCTTCCTGTCTCAGTCTTCTGCCTCCCTCCCAGCTCTCCTCCATCTCTTCCTCATGGACAACGTTGAATAGTTCTAAATATCTGTGGATCCAGAGGGTAGAGCAAAGAAAACTGGGTTTTGTTCCCACACATAGGAACAGTTCTGAGAAAAGTGAAACTGTTTCTGGCCATATTAACAGTGATTTAGAGACTCTCTCCTGAATTCATAGATATCCAGAGCATTCCACTGGGTGTGATTTTAATACCAATACAGTAAGTTGGGAACTTTAGTTTTTAGGATGCAAATTTTACTACAGTGATGCTGATACAACAATAGACTGTTAGTCACACAAATGAAATCCATTTTGTGTGTATTTAAGTACATCAGTGGGGGGGTGCTATTTAAACCAGACGGGTATATCAGATATATTTATCACCACTCAATTTCTAATTCACAAGTGCAAGTTGGAGGAGGCCCTTTTAGACAGAATCATTTGTATTCCTGCTCCAGGAGCAGGACTAGAGGAGCTGGCCAGAGTTAGATGTCAGGAGGCTGTCTCTGCTTGCATTTGCCTCTCCTCCCTGCTTCCAGCAAGAATATGAGGAAACCTCTAGGACATTCTATTGCTTTTTCCATAGCCTATTCAAAACCCTCAGGAGAAACAGATTTCTTTGATCTACAAGAATAGTAGAAGTGGTTTTCTTAGAGAATTTTATGGAAGGCTTTCAATAAATTCTATCGTGGCATTATTTGGTTCCAGTGCCTTCAATCCACCCATTCAATAAACTTTCACTAAGTGGCCACTCTCTGTTGGGTGCCATTTTGAATACAGGGTAGGACATTAATCCCAGTCTAATATTCTTTTGTAGATAGACTCTCTGAACCTCTTAGGCTGCTGCTGAACTACACACATTTTGGTCCTGTTACTAGTAAGTTCTATATCCCTCTCAGCATATATCACCTGTACAACAATAATAACAACGATGACATGAAGAGGAAAATGAATACCCACTCCCAGTTGGCTTCTTCTTTCTGGAAATATACAAACCTATTTGCAAGCAGACTGCTATTGAGGAAAGACCATCCAAATCTGGACTTAGAGGCCTTGGTCAGGTCTCAGCTTCCTAATCTTAGGGAAGTTACTTCACCATTTGGAGCCTCTGCTTATCAAAAAAACTGAGCCCAGTAATCCTTGCCTACCTTTCCCTTGCATTACTGAGGAAAAACAGAAGTAAGAGTGCTCTGGAAACTATGAAGCGCCAACTATCAAACAATCTTTGAAAGCATCAACCATTAGCGAAAACCAATGCATTCTAGGGGGGTTTTCATTAAAGCGGAGGTGGGGGGGATTTCTGTTTTCAACTTGCATCACTCGGGAGTTTGGCAGTATCACCCACATTGATTTCCTTGTGGAAGAGACCAGTTAGAAGTTTTCCTTATTGAAAATGAAGTGCACTCCCCGAGGGCCAGACTCCGAGTTGGAGATGCTCTGTTTACTGAGGGTTTCAGCCAAGGCTTCGGGGCCGCAGAGGAAAACGCCTATTCTGGTACTTTTTGGGAAAAGAAATGAAAAGAAGACAGTTTCAGGCTTTGGGTAAAATATTAGGTTGTCGGAAATGTAATGAAGCATTTTTGTATAGAAAACAGAAAAATACGTCATGACTCTTCTGACAGCCCAATAGATTCCAAAACATGTAAGGAGATTTTCTGTTGATTAATGGCCTCAGGGAAGAGTCCCCTCTGCTCCTTTGAAGACAAAGACAAGATCCACAAATTGCAGAGTCCAGATTACCCTGCAGGTCAGTGGCTTGGCCCAGTTGTGGGAGCAGTTGGATACTTTAAAAAGCTGTTGACCTTAATCTTTACTGAGGCCAAAAAAAAAAAAAAAAAAAAAAAGCTATTGACCTCTCTGGAAAGTGACATTCAAAAAGGACCTATGGAAACTTCTACCACAGAGAAAACAGTGGATTTGTGAGTCTGGGGCTACTTCCCTTCAGTGTTGTGTGTCCCCAAACGCTCTGACATCTTAAAATCAGGAACAAACCCATTTTACATATACTAACAGTCACCGACTTGGCGTGACTTCACCCCTCCACACTCAGGAGTCCAAAGTTTCGAGGTGTGGTTTCAGACCTGTAGCCACTGGAGTCTGCACTTGAGAGAATGTAGATTCCTGGGCCCACCCCAGACCCATTAAATCCATTTCTACATTTAAAAAGATCTTCAGGTAATTCATATGCACATTAAAGTGTCAATAGCCTAATGGGTATATTCACAGTGACTTCTTAGTTTGTCATCAATTCTCACAAGACAGAGGATGCCTTCCGAGTTTCAGGATGACTAAAGCTTTAATGAGAGCACAGAAAGATTTGGGATAACTGTCAACTTATGATTTCAGACCCAAAAGCTATAATTGGAGGTGGGGACAGTTTCTCCTTAATAGAAAGTATAAATTAAATTAAAAAGTAGCTATATGAGTGAGAATTTGGAGACACACACAAAAAGAACTGAGTATCAGCCCTACTTGGGAGGAACAGGGTTCAGAAAATTTGAGGTGAAGGGCAGGGAATCTTTGTTTACAAAAACTCCCACGTAATTTTGGTGTGATTTAAAGACACCCTCTTAAGCAATATCTGGAACCTTCAATAGGATGTGAATATAGTAACTGAGGTGTTTCAGTTTCTGGAATATACAAATGTAGGCATGTTTGTCCACTACATTAGACAGACCCTGAGCCTCGGGAACACCTTGGTGAATCTCCTTACTTTGGGTGTTGACTCGCGATGGTCTTGAACTCATTATCCCAATTGGGTCGCCCATACAAGGTCTTCTGTTTCAGACCAGTGATCACGTCTTTCTCCTCATCATGGTGCACAGCAAAGTGATTTGCCTGCAAGAAGGACATGAATTTGCACCCGCCCCCCCCCAAAAAAAAAGGGGAGAGAAAGAGACATGCTGTAAAAATGCAAACAAAGAGATGTACATATTTCACAAACTAAGCTCTCACTACTCATTCTAACTATATATATTTGGAGAAAGGCTTCATGCTGCAAGCTGGATAAACATAGCAACTAACTCTAAAGAGGAAACCCAGACGTCTACACCTGAATAATCCTATTTATAGAAAAGCACATGAGAGAGGCACAAATATCTCAATGAGAAAAAATAAAGGAATTGGCACGGCGAACATGTGGGAAGGTTTCGGGGTGACAGACTTTTGAATCAGGCTTTGAAGTGTGAGCAGGATTTACATTTTCTGTCTCACTTCTTCTCTTTGCTGTACACCTGATTTTCCCCCTCCCTCCACCCTCATATATACCCACTCTTTGGGGAAAGTCACTAAGACTAAAACAATCAGAGATTAAAATATTAATATTTTCACAACACAGTGAGACATCACACCAAGCCTAAAGCTGCTAGTTGTATGTGTGCATGTGTGTATACATAATCACATGTAGCCTTTAGCTACCATGATAGGGGGTCTCATTGTGGACAATAAGTATTTTTTCTTAAAAGTGGTTAATTATATTTTTATTATCAGCTTTCAAATTCAGGAGATGGATAATGGGGATGGAGGTGATTAAGAAGGTGGTAGTGGCCCTCCCTTGTGGCGCAGCGGGTTAAAGCACAACACTAAGAAGCTAAAGCTACTTCCTCATGAGTTCGATTCCCGCTTGCTCTGGAGGTGACCCCATGGCGTGGCAGACCTCTCCTGAACCGCCTGCTGCTCCCCTCAGCAGTGTACTTCGTCGATCTGCCTGTTCTGTTCCCCACTCTGTCTACGGTGAAGCCTCTCACTGCCCCTGAGCCTCTGGCCTGTATGCACAAATAAATAAATCTTTGAAAAAAAAAAAAAGAAGGTGGTAGATCTATGTTGGTAATCCTGTAGACACTCATTTTACAAAGCAACATAATTATTTTCTTCAAAGTAAATACATTTTCCATTGAAAATATTGTCTAGCTTTTAAAGTATCAAACTTGTAATACAATTTATAAAGTATAGTCTTCCCCAGAATTTCTTTATGTATCAAATGGTTTTGTTGTGGTGGTTTTATTTTTAGATAGCAGAAGTGGCATCTTGAAACCACTTTTTCTGGAGCAGCTGTTCTCAAGGTCATGGGGCCTAGATCAACAATCGCAACAAGCACTTCTAAGATCTGGAGAATAGATCTGGAGGATGACAGTCTCTGTATGATAAATAGCCAAAAACTAAACAAAAAGTCAGTTTTCACAGGTAGAACATGCGTGTGGAACATGCCCAAGGCTGAGGAGCCCATATATAGGGGTGGCCAGACATGACAGTGGCCAGGAAGAATAGTCTTGTTTTGCTCCGTTGTCACCCACTCAGGGTGACAGCAGCCTCCAGATCAAGCGATTAGTGTTTGTTGATCTATGAAGACGTTACCCCTAGGACTCATGAACTTGTTTCAGGTTATCTCAATCTCAGTCATTTTGACAAACATTTGGGTCTAGGTAATTCTTTTTTTTTCTTTTAAAAAATATTTATTTATTGGTGTACACAAGAATTGAGGTGTAGGTCAGAGGTGGGGGTGGGGAGAGGGGTGAGAGAACTCACCAGAGGCAAAATGGGGAGCAGAACAGGCAGATCTACGAAAACCCACTGCTGAGGGAATAGCCAGTGAGACAGGGAAGGTCTGCTGAGCCATGTGGGTCACCTCCCTGGCTGGGGATTGAACTCATGCTGCAGTGGCTGCAGATAGCTTCATAGTGCTGAAACCTAACACCTTGTGCCAGTAGGGAGGCCTCAGGGGCTAAATAATTATTTGCTATGAGGAGCTGTACTGTAGTTTTAAGATGTTTACATTGCTCAATATCCCTGGAGGAAGGCGGGAGACTAACAACATGGGTATAGACACACACACACACACACACACACACATGCCACACACACTTCCACAAACACAGACACATACACACTACACATATGTACACATTTTCACACACTAAGATGACACAAGCTATGCAACTTCTGTCGACCAACAAATTCCCGATGGAAAGGAAAAGCTCTGAAAAATCAGAATTTCCATGCTAACTTATGTTAAGACCTCCCTTTTTTGTATAATCATAATATCAAAATATTCTGAGTAACCATCAGTTTACAACTGGATTGCCTTAGCCTCCTAAGGCTGCAAGCAGGCAGTGGCAGGGCGGGAAATTCCTCTGTCTCCCAAAACAAAAGGCAAGCCCCAGGAGAGATAAGACCCCAGGGCATAAAGACTCCAGGGAAGCTTCCTTGCCATTTTAAACAAAAAGCAAATCTCAGATAAGACTCCCCAGGCATAAGGGCTCATGGACAATTTTCTAACCTTGTTTACACAGGCATTGCTTAATGCAGGACTAACAGCTCATCCTTTCCAGATCCTTCTTCCCTTGTGTATGTGTCTGTGTTTGTGGAAGTGTGTGTGTTACAGTTAAACATCTCTATACATGACAATTATCACAAATGTGTATAATTTAGTATACCATAAAGTGTCAGGAGGAAGCCTTCCCACTTAGGACCTTGCCTGTCTTGTCCCCCCAACAGCTCGATTGTTGGGGCCGGTCCCCGACACACAGATACACTACAAGTACATATATACACATATACTCATACTCACTCTCACACACATACATATTTACAAATGATAATCATGAACTCGGGAGCATTCTGACCCTGCCACTTACTAGCTGGATGCCTGTGGACAAATGACCTAACCTGACCTGTTTTGAGCCTTGATTTTCTCATCTATAAAGTGTGGATAGTTACAGTAGCTACTTCATAGTATTATGACAAGGATTGAACTAGATAAGCTATGTAAATACTAAGAATAATACCTGGTACATAGTATAGAATTGATAGCTATTAACTATTAGCAGCTATTATTTCTAATTACTGAAGTATATTTTAAAACATGGATAAACATATATCATGTATATATTCACAATGAATAGGTGCATGTATAGATTATATATATTGAAAATCCTGAAAAACAATATTTTCCATCTTTTCTTACTTTCTATAACCAGTTCAACTCATCCATCTGGTTCGAGACCCCTGGTGGGGTCACTGCTCTAATAAGGTCAAAGTCATGACTTTCATGCCTTGTAGGTCCCTGAGGTTTGTTCTGATCTTGAAATCACTTTTTCTGGAGCAGCAGCTCTCAGAAACCAACTGGGATCTCGTCTCGACTGTCTGGACATGTGATGATTATGAGTGAGCGTGAAGGTCTGGATCACCTGAATCCATCAACTCTTCTTGGCGAAAACAGGACACAAGACACTCCAATAGCTAAAGTGAAGTGACCTAACCTGGGTAGTGGAGGAAGGACCTAAGACTTGGGATCTAGTTTTCACCTGAGACTCGTCCCAACCAGTGAGGTAGATATTGTAGCTGAGGAAGCCAGCATTGTCTCTCTCCTGCATCTGGGTCTCCAGCAGCTGCAGCAAGTCCGCAAACCACTCAAAGGCATGTGTGTCCCGACAGAGCCAATAAAAGTAGATCTGAAAGAGGGAAGGATTGTGTAGCAGTTATTTTTAAATGGCCTTATCAGCACTGACATGGATTTCTACCCTGTGCCAAACTTCTTCCTGCTATTCAGGCCCCTAAATATAGATTTTCAAAGCTCTGGACATTTAACAAGATAGCACATGTGAACCTTCACCTGCCTTCACACTGGTCAGGCAAAAAATTATAGCCTGGCCTTGGAAATACACAGACAGCTGAAAGCAAAACACCAGCCCACCACTTTCCCTCTGGGTCTGCTCCTGCGCTCCCAGAATCCTTGCTTTCCTTTGTACCGCCCCTTCAAAAAGACCAGTGGCAGCGAGACTAGCAGTGGTTGCTGCAGGACTCTCTCACTGCTTGCTAGTGCGAGACACTCCGGAGTGGCTAGGGAAAAGCCCTAACTAGCCCCCCTAACTAGGGCGCAAGAGAATGAAAAATTAATGTCAACTGAATTTGCCTCGTAGGGGTTGTCTTTACTGTTGTGAGATTGCCTCAAGTTTTATTATCAGGAGGTGATAGCAGATTTAGATGAAAGTTCCTGAAAGGACATTTCTCCTTCCCTCTCCCTGCAAAGTAAGTATGGGGAGGGGCTGGAAGTTGAATCAATCTCAATATACAATATATATAATATGAAAGTTATTTCTTTATCCTTTCACTAAAACATGAAGCAATATAGTAGAGGAGTGTGGGTGCCTTGGTGGTGGGTGCGGTGTGGTGACATACATCTGAGGGGGGTGTGATCATGTGCCTCTGAGTCATGTGTTGCTGCAAACCAATGTTACCTCAAAAATTGAAGAAAAATAAAATTAAACCTTCATCTACAAAAAAGGTAACATACTGCGACAACTCTGAAAACCACTTGCTCTAATGCATTTTTTTTAAAAGACATGAAATTGATGAATGTAAAAATGCCTCCCCTAAATTAAAACAATCCCAGTCAAGAAATAGAGTTGACAGTTTTGCCTATGAAGCAACTTAAACTGGTTTCCCACTTTGTTAGATCGAACTTGTGGTGTGCTTTCTAGATCAGAAAGTAGAAAATGGAATTCATTACAGTAATAATAAGCTTAGGTTACATACACTTCTAAAAGTTTCAAAGTTTACATTCTAGAAGTCAGTTTCTGTTCTAGAAATGTTTATAATAAAGTAGTTCAATGAAATATTCGAAGAGAATATACAAAAATCACTATTGGACTGGGGTACTGAATGCTTTGTCTCTTTCTCAACTTTCTTCCAGATTTCTAGTAATGCTATACAAAGAGAACGTATTACCTTCCTAACAGACTGTGTACAGAGGCATGTTTAACTTATTAAATAACTTGGAAGAGACCCGTTTTCACTTCCCTTGGTCTCTGCCAGGCTCAGCCCTGAAGACTGTCTCAAGTTTCATGTGGTAGAGTGTGACAATCATTCTAGGCCCTCTGCAAAATAAAGGAGCCTACCTTTGTGAGCTTCAGATTGGTGGCGTTGTTGCAATATTTGTACCAGACTGACTTGAGGATGGATGCAAATGGTGTGACCCCAATCCCTGCTCCTACTAACATCACCACCTCGTAGCTGAACACATCTTCACTGGCTGTGCCAAAGGGTCCATCAACAGCTATCCTGGAGGGAAAAGTGGAAAGAGATGGTTCCAGAGACATCTTGCTCCTTAGACTAGGGTGGGTTACAGATTATTTCTGGGGGTGTGCAATATGGCACTTTGAACTGGGTCAATGTATCAATGATGCAATTTCTTCCATAACATAGCTGTCAAGTAACCCACTTTTTGTGGCCTTTGGGGTTGAAAGTAGAGAAATTTTTAGCTAACTGAAACCACTGTCTAGCTGTTAGGGGTCTTGTCTTCACCTCTGCCCCCCTTTTCTTCACACACACACACACATGTGCACACACACACAGCATTCCACATTTGAAATTCATATTACAGTGAGAATTTTCTCTACCATAACATCTTGTAGATTTAGTATCTCCACTTTCCACTTATCTGTCTACTCATTGAGCTAATCCACAAACTTCTTCAGCATCTAAGTGCCACTGTTAGATTTGTGGAGAAATCAAGGCAAAGTGTAATTTTGTTTGCTAGGAAAATCAATATGCCTTACATATTTAAAGGAATTTGAGAATACTCACTATTAGTATTTAGTTCAAATAGTTTCTATTTCAGATAGATTTACAAATATGCATAAAAGCACCACACACATAAACTGGCGAATATAAAGATAGTATCCTATTTGCCAAACACAGCACAATATCGTGAGAGATGGGAGAAGAGGCCCCGTTAGTGACTTTGTTCCTCAAACGCATACATTTTCACCATAGGCACTTTGTACTCACTTGGGGAGTTTCCAGGCATCTTGGAACTCCTGCTTGTCACAGCCGCATGCATTGAACAGTCCTTCCGTCCAGTCCCCGACAATACGGATATGGATGCTAAAAAAGTCTTCCTCAGGGGCGGAAGTCAGCGTGAAAGGGTGCCACTCCAGCTTGGATACCACGGGGCACTTGACAAAAATGTACTGTCCCACCTCCATCTTGAAACCCTTCTTCTTCATCTGTAGCTCGATAGTTTTGAAAGGGTGAGTGACCACCTAGGAGAGAAACATGTCTGTGGAAAGTCCGCTGTCTCCAAACCTTGCCTTTTCAGTGTCCATATGAATGAAGGGCTAAGCTAAGATGCCCCAACACTTCCCTTTACTGGCCACCACTATAGTTCCCCCAAAAGACATATCTCATCCTGGGAATTGTTCTCGGTGGTACCCCACTGCCAGAACTGATGCAAGATAACCCCTTCTCCTTACATTAAGGTTGCTCCAAGGAAGGCCTCCCTGGTGCCACAAGGGGGGTAAGTCTCAGCACTATGACGCTATCTGCAGCCATTGCAGCATGAGTTCGATTCCCAACCAGGGAGTTAACACATATGGCACAGCAGACCTCTCCTGTCTTGCCCACTGATCCCCTCAGCAGTGTATTTCAAGATCCACCTGTTCTGCTCCCCACTCTGTCTCTGGTGAGTCCTCTCACTGCCCACACCTCTGGCCTGTACCCCAGCACTTGTATGCATGAATAAGTAAAATAAATCTTAAAAAAAAAAAAGACTTCCAAGGGGCCATCCCAACTTCTGCACTCCCTGGAGGATCAGGTGAGGCTACAGTTGAGGGTCAGTCATTTCCTGCCATTTTTTTCCCTTTAAGTTTCATCTCCTAAGAATATGCCCCAATACAGCTTCTGCATGTAGTTCTCTGAGGTCCTGAGAATTCAACCTAAGACATTGGCATGCTGTGATAGGTACTTCTCTAAGAAGTCAGTGCAGTAGCAAGAAAGAGGAAGAAGAGATAGTTGCCTACTTAGCCCTGGTATCTTCCCACAGATGATCCAGACCGTTAGCAACTGGACAGGAAAAGGAGACTCCATTGGCCACTCACATAGCAACATCCCCCAAAACAAGCCTAATTGCTGATCTGCCTTGGTCGAGTTCTGTCTTGCATGTGCCTTATTCCGTGTATTATTTCTGCGTTTCTTTCCACCTGGGAATATATCATCAGTCCCTCCTAATGCTAGGCCCCGCCCACCCTCATTACCTTTGTGCATGAATGTTCATAACAGCTTTGTTGATAATAGCAAAAAAGTATAAACAATCCAAATGTCCACCAACTGGCTATCTGGTAAGTGCTTTGTTTAAATAGAACATAATCAAAACTCTCTCTCTGTAATACAGAAAGTAATATACTCTCTCTTTGTCTATTCTAGAGATGTCTATTCTAGAGATGTACAAGTGAAAACAAACTAAGGGACATCAAAGGAAAGAAAAATCAATAGACACAAAATTACAGCTTGCAAATGTTGACTAATATTTCTAGGTCTTTCTTTTTGTGAGTAAAGACGATCAGGAGAATGGGAAATCTTAAGAAATGTGAAACACTTCCAAAATTTGTGATTTAAGTATATCTTCTAGGATAAAGTTGCCATAAATACCACTTTCCTTCTCTGAAATAGGGACAAAAACCTGAAACTTATGTTATAAATAAAACATGTTGTTTGAGTAAAAGTTTATTAAAATACTTGGGAAATTACATTTACCATGTTGCATTTTTGTGTGCTGCAATTTATTCCTGCATTGCAATGTTGTATGAAAAATTGGTATAGACCTAAGTAAAATGTACTACGGAGTGGTGTTGTCACTTTGGATAACACCTTCATTCTTATGCGAGCTTCTGTGAGAAGAGACTTAACATCCTTTTTTTTTCCATGCAAAAACAAGTTTTCCTTAATAATATTTTTAAAGGAAATAAACATATTTATGTTGCCTGGTTAGTCATCTCTTGTTGAGAAAGGGAAACTTCGTGGTAGCTCTTTTTGTTGATACTTGGGACTTTTATTATAATGCAATAATAGAATTATCATAAAAGGAGAACTGCTGTGGCTTCCTTTATTTCAAGATTTCCAATGCCATCTGGACTAGCTTCGCTATGACTTGAAAAAGGAACAGCTAGGTGGAGGCTAGGAAGAATTTGTGTGTTGTGCAAAAATAGTCCCGAGCAGTTTTTTTGTAAATTATCTTTTGAACTGAATTGAAGTGAATTAAAATTCATTTGCTGAAAATAGTCTTGTCTGGTGGGACTGAACTTATGCTTCAGTGGCTGCAGAGAGCCTCACAAGGCTGTCCTTTAACCCACTGCTCTATCAGGGAGGGCCGAGGGGTTTCTATTTCTTATTGAGCGAGTGGTTGATTGATTGACTTGTGGGGAGAAGCATAGAAACCTTAGGGAAAAGCCTGTACATGCTTCTTGCACTGTCTGCAAGGGATCGCTTCCAATATGCCCTCTGTCCCGCCAAGGCCCCAGGTGGTCATGTCCCTTCCATAAAATGGCATTGTATTTGTATGTGATTTATATTCTCCCATATACCTCAATCATGTCTACTTATTATACCTAATACAATGTAACATCTATGTAAACAGTTGCTATCCTGTTATGTTGAGGAATAGTAAGAGAATCTGTTCCCTGTTCAGTAGATGCCACCATTGTAGGTCTAAATATAGAGCAGTACATATTTTCGGTTAACAGCTGGTTGAATCCTCAGACATGGAACTCAAGGATAGTGAAGGGTTGAATGTATATACTGTAAATCCTCAGCTAACATCTTCAATAGGTTCTTGGAAACTGCAACTTTAAGTAAAATGACGTATGAAATTTATCCTCAAGTGAAATTATTTCATTCAACATCAGTGGGAATTTCTTTTTTCTCATTAGCATTATAACAAACTGGTGTCATTTGAGGACTTGCTATATTGGCATTAGGAGACTCAATTTTACATGCAGTTTATTTACCAACTTGTTTAAGATTTGGGGCACTGCATGGGACCTGGGAAACTAACTCAACCTCAATCAGATCTTCCCTTGGTTCCCTGGTTCTTTTGACATCTAAATATTTTAAGGTTTGATATATGTTCTTCTCTACCCATAACTAATTACATTCACTCTATGTTCTTCCCCTCTACAGAGAGAGAGAAATTATTGTACACAAAGCATGCAGTTTTCATCAGAAAATATTAACTTCCAGTTTCCCAGTTAAAAGACCCAACCATGACTCTCTTCCGCCCAGCAGTACAGGAGTGTCCCTCAGGCAACATGGTCAAGGTCAGAATGAATAAATTTGGCCAGATAAGGCATTTGGTCACCAGCGTTGCTTTAACTATGACAAAGATACTGGTTGCCACCAACAACTCCTTCATTGACCTCAACTACATGGTCTACATGTTCCAGTATGATTTCAGCCAGGGAAAGTTCAATGGCACAGTTAAGGTTGAGAACAGGAAGATTATCATCAATGGAATATCCATTTCCATCTTCCGGGAGTGAGATTTCACTAACATCAAAGGGGGTAAGGTTGATGCTGAATATGCTGGGTGTCTTCACTACCTTAGAGAAGCCTGGGATTCAGCTGAAGTCTGTCGCCAAAAGGCTCGCCATATCTGCCCTTTTTTCTGCCCTCATGCTAGCGAACGGGTGTCAACTATGAGAAGTACAATTCCCTCAATATTTTCAACAAGTGCTTGCCCATCACCCCTTGCCTCCGTGAAGAACATCCATGTCGATTTGAGCATCGTGCAGTGACACCTGGTCCATGCCATCACTGCCCCTCAAAAGACTATGGACCACCCCTCTGGGAAGCAGGATGGTGGAGGGACTGTCCAGAACATAATTCCCACTTCTATTGGTGTCACCAAGGCTTTCGACAAGGTCATCCCTGAGTTGAATGGGAAGCCTTCGTGTCCCCACCTCCAGTGTGTCATTTGTGGATCTTACCTACCACCTGGATAAAGCTGTCATATATGATGAAATCATGAAAGCAGTGAAGCAGGTACCACAGGGCCCCCTCAAGGGCATCCTGGAATACACTGAGGATCAGTTTGTGCGATTTTAACAGTGACACCCACTCCTTCTCCTTCAATGCTGGGGCTTGTATTGTCCCTCATGATGACTTTGTCAAGCTCTTTTCCTGGTTTGACAATTACTTTGGCTACCTAAACAGTGTGATGGACCCCACAGTCTATATGGTCTCAAGGAGTAAGAACCCTTGGGACCGTCAGCCCCAGAGAGAGCACAATAAGATAGAGCGCCCCTCAGCAACCAGGTAGTCCTTCTCCTACTCATCCACACTGGGAATCACCTAATCTGTCACAGTTCCATTCCAGACCTCTCCAAAACTGATGCAACCATTTGGCTACCATGCTAAATACATTGTAATAAACAATAGATTTTCTTTCAAAGAAATTGAGTAACAGCTCTGACTAATGATATAGAGAATTTGGGTATAGTTGCCCAAGATATAGCTAGATAATATTAGTTATTCCTAAATCAGCCAATACCTTGGTGATGACCACCTTCTGTTGAGATCGCCAAAACCGGACCAGCCTCTCACACACATACAGGAACATAGGACCTATTATCCATTTCCAAGTCTGTAATTAGAGTAAAATTGAAAAAAAGAATTCATGAAGTGTTGATAGCTAATAAAAGACTCTTAGGGATGAACCAGAAATCAAATCCAACTTTGTAGGTTTCTTTAAGATTTCGAAGTTTCTTCTGTAACAGAATGCATGAAAAATAACTAAAGTTAAAATAAATTTTGAGCCACAGCAAATAAACTTTCTCCTTGCCACATTGGGGAACTATAGCTATAGTATGAAACTTTCCCAAGAGGAACTACCTACAAGAATGGAATTTCCTCCGACTGTTGCAACAGCACTTGCAATAACTCGACAACATGGCAAGGTTAGTTTCAGAATTAACATTTCTCTAAAGGATGTTCTATTTCAGCAACACTATACTTTTTTAAATGCAACCTTGTGATTTCTTTCTCTGGCTGTGTAGGGAAAGCTTAATCTTTTGCAAGATGAGAAATTTCATGCAAGAATTTAGCTGCTTCTCCAATATCCTGGTAAGTTCTAGGAGCTATGCAATACACTTTCCGAATACAGACTCAAGATAGTTCTTTAGATTTTCCTATGAATCTGCGATGTTTCAGAAACATGGGAATTGCCCTGTCTCCCTACTGGCTATATAAAAATATATAAAAATAATTAGGTTCATCCTGGAACTCAGTCAGGGTCACAGTTTAATACCTAAAGTAGCAAAGAACTTTAGAAGGCAATGCATCTAAAGGATGACACCCCATCAAAACAGGGGTGGGAAGAGCACAGGGGACTATGGTGACAGTGCATGAGTGAATTAGTGGGAATTGCATGGGGGCTACATCTGAGAGGAGAAAACCTACATTGTACAAAAATAAAGAATGATGTAATATATACATAAAGTTAAAAAAAAAAAAACCTAGAAGATGACATCCCAGAATGGAGTCAAGAAGAAAAAACAAACAAACAAAAAAAGAGTGCTACCCATAATTGTATGTGGTCTTTCTATTAGCGCTCATTAGGCACTTATTGTTGGAGATATTCTGCTACTGTTCTCATTTTCATGGGATGGATTTTTTTTTTTTACAAAGTCCCACATTATCTATCTTCTGGGTGCCAACCTAGGGCCCCAATGAATAGAAGCTTGTCTTAGACATGTCTCTAATCTATCCAGAATCTCAGAAGCTCCCCTGAGGGAGATGATTGTTAAGGAAGAAGTCTTCAGTTACCTTCGAGGAACTGTGCCTCGCCTCCCCGAGTCCCTAAGAGGACTAGCAAGCCAGTTCCCTTTTTAATTCTTTCTATAGATACTTTCATGCAATGGATGTAGCGGTTTCTCATCACTCATGGAGCTGGCTGCCCAGTTAATGAGCAAAGATGCTTATAGATGTTAAGTCCATGACACTATTTGTGTCTAAAGGAAGAGCCTGCCTCTTCCTCTAGAAAGAAATAAAGGAGAAAAAATAAAGGAGTAAATGGGAGAGAAAATTTGCCTTTATATGATACTATGCTTAAAGGAAAAAATAAGAATATTCTAGTCCAGAAACCCTATATAGATATTTGCATTGCCTCATTTATATCAATGGCCAGTATGATAACAAATAAGAGATGGAGATCATAGGATCCATTTCTCATTCTATGGAGCAGGAATATTGAAAACACATGAAATAGTGTTTCATAGTGGAATATGTGGAATAGTGGAAGCTCTTTGGAGCTTCCAACAATAAGGTAAATCTTGGACTTGGCACACTCCAGGCCTACCACACGATGGCACTGGGTGTTGTTATGAACCTGGCTGCTCAGCTTCTTTTATGCCTCACAGACAGAACCCCCTGATGTCTAAAGGCAACCCTGTGTGTCACCCTATCAGCTTCCTTCCCAATTCGGAATACTGTATAGCAAATCTTATTTCCTGGGTCCTCCCTGGTGGAGAAGAGGTAAAAGTCTCCATGCTATCCAGTCAGCCACTGCAGCACGAGTTTGATCCCCAGACATGGAGCTGGCCCACATGGCACAGCAGACCTCTCCTGCCTCGCCTGCTCCTTCCCTCAGAAGTGTATTTCAGTTGATCTTGTATGCATAAATAAATAAAAATAAATCTTTTTAAAAATAAAGTCTTATTTCCTGTTATCTAAAGATGCTCCTGGATCCTTACAAGTGATTATCTGAGCTATCCAACTTAGCTGAGGATGGTACACCACTGAAAATCAGCAGCTGCTATTACTGTGGCCCTCACAGACAGAAGAGAAAAGGTGGAACTTCTTGAACAGAAGCAGCTTCTCCATATTTTCAAAAAGCATGCTTCACCATGTTTTCTGTCAGGCATACATAACAGATTAATGCAAAGCTTATTTTTCAGGGAACAGTTCTAGACAATGATTATTGCAAAGAAAAGTAGATTGTTCTAGCATTCTAACTGCCCATGGTATTCATCATGGACAACTCTAGGATATTTGCATGTATTTTGCAGAGGCAGATTGCAGACTGTCAGGAATGAGACTGTAAGAGCAACATGGAGCGTACGTACCATAGGAGGGTTCCCAGAGAACTGCGGAACTGGGCAGCTACCACTTTGTCCCCATGTCGAGATACTACTTTCACAGACTCTTGGTTTATGTACCTCCAAGCTGGCCTTGGTTTGTCCACGTACAATTTGCCTAAGGAGTAAATATAAGTCCAGACCATTTATTACCGAAAAGTAAGTTGTTATTTTTTTGAGATTCGAGGACAGCTGAATATGGGTCTTGTGCTTTGCACTTAAAAGTCACATCTTACTGACACCACCTTCCCACCAAACAGATTAAAGGAAGGGAAAGAAAATATGTCACCTGCAGGAATAGAAAAACTATGGCAAATGGCACCAAGAATACATTTAACATTAGAGGGGGGGAGTTTGGGATCATCAATGCATGTTTGTTTGAAGGGAGCAGTTGTGTTTTGTTCTGAGTATTATTTTCATTTATAAACAAACAAAACCCAAAAATCTGGGCCCTCCCTGCTAGCACAATGGGTTAAAGCACAGCACTATGAAGCAAGACACAGACACTTTAGCACAAGTTCCATCCCCAGACAGGGAGGTGACCCATATGGTGCAGCAGACCCCACTTTCTTTCCCGCTGCTCCCCTTAGCAGGGTATTTCAGTCAGTCTGCCTGTTCTGCTCCCCACTCTGGCTCTGGTGAAGCCTCTCACTGCCCCCTGCATCTCTGGCCTGTACCCCAGTTCTGTGTGCATAAACAAATTAATCTTAAAAAAAAAAAAAACAAACATGAAAAACTGCCAATCTTTCAGAGTGATTTCTAGCCTACACTGGGCCTTTGTGCCCATTAGAACAAGATCTCCCGCTCTGAGGACCAGCCCACAGGCAGAGTGTGGGCTGCAGAGCATGGACTAATTTTACTCTTCTTGGACAAACACTGAATTGAAGTTGACAACCCATACAATCACACACAGCAACCTTTGCTTAGTATGAGTGGCTCATTGGTTGTGTCAGAATTATCTAAATCAAACCAAAGGTTGACATCAACTTAAGAAGACTTAGGTTTGTGAAGATTAGGGCACTCATGGACATCAGCACGATATTCAATTCCTTTGGGGCATCACTTACTTCAGCTGTAAAACAGGTACAGTAGTATCTCGTTAAAAGTTTCTTTTCAAATACCTGATGGTTTCACTCATAGCAGGAGTGTAACGGACCAGGTGAGAAAATAATGATAATAATAAATGGCTATATACCAGAGACATTTTATGGGGGCGGAGTGGGGAATGGGATCAAAAACAGTGGGGGGAGGGAAGTGCTCTGGACTATGGTGATGGCACATGGGTGATTTGGTGATGGGAAGCCCACGGGGATTACAACTGAGATGAAAAAATGCACAAAATTATGTAAAAATAAACTATTATATTATTTTTAAAAAGAAAAATTAAAATAAAAAATAAGAACTATTCTAGTAAGCCCTTGGCACATTTTACATATTCAATGGAGATTTGATTGATCTCCAGTGACAGGCAATGTTGTAGGGTTGTAGGTTCCTTTGACAGAATAAGGAGAAGTTCACTAAGAAAAAAAAAAGTTTCTTTTCATAATCAATTAACATGATACATTTTAAAATACCAGACTCAAAGTAGGGTCCAAGAAATAGTAAAGTTCTAAATGCCCAAATTCGCATAGCAAGTAATAGCGGGGAAAAAAAATCTGATTTTCCCCTTTTCTTCTTAATGATGGGACCAAAAGTCAGAAAACATGGGTTTTATTCCCAGTTCAGCTGCTATCCTGAACTGAGGTGTGAGACAGTAAGCCATCGGCTCACCAGCATGAGTAGCATTCTCCTCAAATGAAGAAAGGAGTAATAGGTTCCCTCTGCCTGCTCTAATGGGAAATTCAGAGCTATACAACCATGCAGATGCAAATGGGCAGAATTACATAGCTAGAGAGGGAAAGAGATGCATTTTTTTCTTCGGGATTTTCTGGAATAGCTGGACTATGACCAATGCCCACTGAAAGATAAGCAAATGCTTTAGGAGCATCAAAAGATTGTTTCTGTGAGTTTCCAGTACTTAGAAGAGTTTATCAGGGGTCAGAGGCAGCAGAGTGATCGAGTGCATACAATTAACTGCCTACTCAAAGCTGCTTCTCTTCACCTTTAACCTTTCACACTCAGATACGCAGATGGCCTCAGGGGTGACAGCTGAGCCATGAATATCTACTTCCTCCACCCCTGGTTATCTGGAGCCCTGTACCCACCAGGGCACTTCCCCAGACCTATTTGTGCAGAGGGGAGAATCAACTAGTGTGAAACAAACACACCAAAAAACTCACCCAACCACACAGGTCGGCTCTGGGTTTCTGTGAGAGCATTTGTTGCCACCATCCTTCGACTGCCACAACCAACTGGGTTTGGTCTATGTGTTTGACCTGGTTTAGCCTGTTTCCCTGTCTACAATGGATATAGAAAGAGCAGCTTTTCCCTTTGGGAGTGAAAAGAAACATTTTACATCTATAATCAGTGCTCAGTGGAAGTTACGTCTTCCCTGTAGTATACGGGAAGGCTTGAAGGCAATACCCATGTATTTTTCCTTCTCATCTTCCCCACATGCCTGAGGTCAATTCTCATATAGTAGGCAATCAATAACTGGTTGGCTTGAATCAAAATCCACTGGACCACTTCCAAACCCTTAACTCTTCTAGCGTGGGTTTTGTCTAATTTACCAGTGCTTAAGTCACAGGAAACAGCAACACAGATAGCCAAGACCCTGGAGCACTCCCAGTATGCTTTATATACTTGCAAAGATACTCCAACTTCGGTGTCTTTCCCCAAGCTTGCTGTAAGTAACTGCACCGTGAACAGTAAGGTATTGACAGCTAGAGAATAAAGCATTGCTGAGAAGTTTCCAACTAAATGACCTGTGGTCCCCTCATATTCCCTCTACAGAAATACACCCCTCATAAACAAAGGGATCACCGTGCCCCTAAAAGAGCATCACACCTCTAAACTGAAGGACATAAAGTAATTGACATTGGAGTTTAAACACTCACTCGACTCCATGGATGGCAAGACCGATGAAAAAGATCACGAAGAGGTGGTGTGTGTACCAAAACACTTCAAAGTAAGACCTCCGGATAGTTTTGGTGGAGGAGGTGATAATTAATATGAGGCACAGTGTGATGACAATTCCAGTGATGCCTGCTACCTTAGTCACAGCCACATACAGTCCTCCTTCAGGATTCTGTGAAATACAAACACACATGCACATTATTCAGAGGTTCTCAAATGAGGAACTACCTATTTATAAAGTGTCAGGTGTATAAGGCAGTATTTTCATCCTCCCTCTCCCCCTTAGCAAATCCTAATTACAGAACCCCAGAGTTCTATAGACTTGTAAGGCATAATTCTCAATTTAAAAAAGTTTTATGGGCCCTCCCTTGTGGCACAACAGGTAAGGATGCAGCACTGCAAGCTAGCTGCAACCGCTTCAGTACGTTCGATCCCTGCCCCGGAGGTGACCACATGGCGCGGCAGACCTCTTCTGTCTCGCCTGCTGCTCCCCTCAACTGTGTACTTTGACGATCTACCTGTTCTGCTCCCCACTCTGTCTCTGGTGAATCCTCTCACCGCCTATGCACCTCTAGCCTGTACCCCAGTTCTGTATGCATAAATAAATTTTAAAAAAGAAGAGGGGCTTCTAGTGGGAAATTATTTTTAAAAAGTTTTATGGGCCCTCCCTGGGGGTGCAGTGGGTTAAAGTGCAACACTATGAAGCTATCCACAGCCACTGAAGCATGAGTTCAATCCCCAGCTGGGGAACTAACCCACATGGCACAGCAGACCTCTCCTGCCCCATCCGCTGCTCCCCTCAACAGTGTATTTCAGTCAATCCTACTGTTATGCTCCCACTCTGTCTCTGGTGAATCCTCTCATCCCCCACGCCCCATACTTCTGGCCTGTGCCCCAGTTCTTGTATGTGTACATAAATAAATCCTTAAAAAATAAAGTTTTATGTGGTTGGATGTCAGAATATATGAATTGATACACTGAACTAGTTCCAAGGGGGTATCAAATAAGTTGACTACGAGATATTTTAAAAGGGTCTGATGCCCTTTCCTCTTCAATTTGGAAAGGGCTGGCAGTGCTTAGTTTGCAAATGTATCCAGGGCATGCCTAACATCTCAGACTGTGTCCCTGGAAGCTGACTTGCGATGATGATGTGCTCTGGAAGAAACTGGTAAGTGAATGCTTAACAGGACAGGAAAAGGAATGAATCAAGTAAGAGGGTGACCTCAGGTCAAGTCTTCCAGAGGGCAGCTTCAGCCTGATGCTACAGGGAAGCCATGAGGGTAAGTCACACCTCAGAGTTTCTCCTGACTCAAGGCAAGGAAGCTGGGCTTTCATGACCTGAACCCATCAGTTGTTAGCTAAGCATGGTCCAAGGCAAAGGTAGCCATCAGGTGACTTCCAGATTCTGAGATTGTGGGCAGAGGAACTACAGTGGCCCCAAAGTGGTCCTCTGAGGAAGACATGCACTGCGGGTCATCGAAAGTGAACACACACACACAGAAAGTTGGGATACACAGTTGTAGGAGGAGTGGTCCAGAGGGATCTGGGCAGAGCATGCCAGCATCAACTCACCTACTCTGTTTGCATGTCAACCCATGACTCACTGCACGCTGGGCACTGTAACAGAAATCTGCCCCAAGACACTATAGAAAACACATTCCTTTTTGTTTGAGGCTGTTTAATTCTGTCTCTAAGCAGCCCAGGCAAGTTTTCTCATGACAGCTTAAGTATAATTACTATTGTAAAATGAAGGAATGTTTCTTATAATCTTTTACAAATAGAAGAAAACAGATTTGGAATTTGGTGTATAACAAATGTGACTATTTTCTCAAACGAATGGTCACATGAACATAATTTGGAGTGTAGAAAACTTCAACAACACTGGGGATGCAAGAAGTCTTTGCCTGTGGATTCAACCAATGGCTGACCTTGGGGAACTGTTGAGGTGCTTCCAGAGGCCTGTGCTTCAAGGAATGATGGCAGACACTGGCCCCCCCTCAGATGTCATAAGTAAGAAAAAAGAAAAGCATCACTGATGACTGTCAGTTGGTGGCTGGCCTGGTTCTAACACCTAGGACAGAGTGTTCCCTGTTTCGCATAAACAATTTCATAGAACACCAACTCAGATGAGATCACTCTGTTTCAGTGAAGGAATGAGTCAAAAATAAGTCACTGTGAAGTCATGTGTGATATAAAACAAAATCATGAGTGAATGTTGCTTCTTTACTTACAGATTTAGCCGCATTCTATTCCTTTGGTCACCTAAGAAAAAAATACCTAAGATCCCTAATTTTGGAAGTGTCCCTTATTTCTGCTCAAACTTGTTCCAGAGCAAATCCTCACTTCCTGAACCCTCCCTTCCTTCCTCCCTCCTCCTAAAAGTGTCCTAACACAAGCCCAAGTGCTGTAATTGCCTCTATTAGCACCCCTTGAGAGTTTTGGAAGTGTCCCTTATTTCTGCTCAAACTTGGAATTTTGGAAGTGTCCCTTATTTCTGCTCAAACTTGTTCCAGAGCAAATCCTCACTTCCTGAACCCTCCCTTCCTTCCTCCCTCCTCCTAAAAGTGTCCTAACACAAGCCCAAGTGCTGTAATTGCCTCTATTAGCACCCCTTGAGAGGCCACACACTTCCTCATGGTATAAGGTCTCCTTTGCTATAGTAAGTAATAGGCCCACTTTTGACTAGACATGGATTCCTGACCTTCTTTGACTGCTGGGGATTTTTTTTTTATTCCCTCCCCTCCCCCCCCTTTTTTTTTTGACTGCTGGGGATTTTTATGGATGAGACCAGGGTTCTCTGAACTCCAAGGACACAAAATTCACTTGGGTGAGCTGAAGGAAATGAGAAACATCTAGTGACTCTCCACACACTGGATCTGGGTGTGGGAGTCTTTTTTTCTGCATGTGTGTGTGTGTGTATGCATATATATATATATAATTGTGTGTATATAATCTTTTATATACATAATATATATAAAATTGTGTGTATATAATCTTTTATATACATAATATATATACACACACAAATCTTTGTATGTATATATATAAATATAAAGATTTATATATATACATATAAAGATTTATTCATGCATATAGAACTGGGGTACAGGCCAGAGATGCAGTGAGAGGATTCACCAGAGACAAAGTGGGGAGCAGAACAGGCAGATTGAATAATAAGTACACTGTTGAGGGGAGCAGTGGGTGAGACAGGAGAGGTCTGCCATGCCATGTGGGTCACCTGGGGCAGGGGATCAAACTGCACTGAGGCAGCTGCGGTCAGCTTGCAGTGTTGCGTGTTAACCTGCTGCGCCACCAGGGCGGCCCTGTGCCTGTATTTTAAACACTGACAGACTTGTCCCGCTGATTAGTCAACTTTAGTCATTGCTATTGTTTTAGCCAATTAGAGTTCTGTATGCTGTGAAATTTAGTCTTCAGTTTTAATGACCTAGGAGACATCTGAATCAGGGAACAAAGAGACTTACCTTGATTCTGCTTCGAACAAAATTGAGGTAAGATTCACCTGGTTTATCTCCAATGTTAGAGAGTGCTATTAAAAAAGGATCTGAATTGTTGACCCGGGCATTCACACACCATTCCACATTAAATAGATGCGCAACGGTGTGAATCGCTAAAGCGGACAGAAAAGAGAAACGAAAAGGTGAAGGGTGTGCACAATTTTATTGTAAGTTGGGTTTCTAGTATAGCCCCTGACTATCACAGGGAGACACAGGGATGGCCCAGGACACTGCTAAATGGGAATTGCATGTCACCACCTGCGCGGCAAGGCGATTCGAAGTGGCTGAACTGCCCCAGTTTTTGTGATCACGGACAAGTGACTTTAAGGCTCTGGTCTCTGTCTGTTACTTGAAAAATGAAGGTGTTGAACTAACAACCCAAGTTTCTAGATTCTACAAAATAATCTTGATTCCTGAGAATATTTACATGTGTTGTACTTGTCTCTCTTCCCCTGATATATTTGTGCTCAAGCAAGAAGACTCTCCTGGATTGTATGTCTTTGATGGCTCATTTACCTGATTCTGACATTACTCCATGGAGAATGATTTTGTAGAAAACTGTATTGAATTGATACAGACCAATGACACTAAGTATGAATCTCTTTTAAAAATGTATTTTTTTTTTTACTTAACAAGCACGTACATGGGCCTTGCTAGTAGCCAAGCACTATTAAAAAGCAGTATTAGTGCTTGATAATTACTTAATCCTTTTATTGATCCAGCAATGTAAAGACTGTTACCATTTCATCTACAGATGAGGAAACTGGGAACAGATTGCATAACACCTTGCCCGAGGTCACCAAGCTAAGAGGCAGCAGAGTTAGAATAAAATCCAAGCTGGTCTGGTAACCAGCTATCTTCTTACCCATTTTACTATGTTGCCTTCTAACAAGATCTTATCATGTGTTCCACTTTGGAACCATTTTGTTTGCTACATCTCAGAAAGCCTTCCTGATGTAAGAAGAAATGAGAGCCCTAGTTGAATGTTTGCAAACTAAGCCTATTTTGTCAGCTAAGGGCCAAATTCTAAAGGCAGAATAAAGGTCTATTTTGTCCATCATTATGCATGTGTGTATGCTTGTTTCCTGCCATGTTAACTATTTTATTATGTGAATTAGTGGCAATATGATAGTTAAATGGCTCTTTTTAAAAAATGTATTTATTGAGGTAATGTTGATTTACAACACAGTATGTTTTAGAGGTACAGATTCACATCTCTATAAGCGGATGTTATCATACCATGACTACCACCAAAACCCCAAGAATCTTCTATCACAGTTTAGCAGACCCCCTCCCCCTTGCTCTAGTTCCCCACCCTCTCATCTGGTAGCCTCAGCTTTGCAGTCACAATAAATCCCCTCTTCTGCTGATACTACCACCTTAATAAGGTATAGGAAATCTAGTAATCTATGTGTTTGACCAAGTACTTTTTACATTTGTCATATTAAAAAGTGGGGAAAATCATGAAGACACTGGGATTTTATCAAGTGTACAAAATGAAAAAATTTTAAAACCTGAGAAAATAAATCTTAATTTGGGAAGAGCAGAAGCAGTGCTATTTTTTAACAGAACTCATTAAAAAAATACAACATAGGCAACCATTACCTACTCTACCTATGCAGGTCAATCTCTTTGAAAAAAGTATTTGGAAAAGAGGGGACTCTGGCTCCATGTTTTCTTTGTAATCTCAACTATCGTAACAAGCTTACCAGTGTGAAGTGCAATCATCCATGCCACCATTTTATGAAAGGTGAGGTTCCTGTCCAATTGTCTTCGCATTCTTGTTGAACAGCACTTTGGATGAAGGGGCGGGGGGGGGCGAGGGGAAGGACATAGCAATTGCTAATTAAAAGATTTTTCTGCATTAGATACATGGCATCTTGTTTAATTCTCACAACCATACTTTAACTGCACCATTCTACCTATTTAACAGATGAGAAAACTGAGTTTCAGACAGTGACAGTTATGTTCCCAAGGTCAAACGGACATTAAATGCCATAGCAGGCTTAACCATTATATACTGTGTTCTCATGCCTGTGACATAAAGTGTTGCCTGGAATCTATTCCTTAAATGCATAAAATATGAATTCAAACAAAAAATACATCTACCCATGTTATTTCTAGTTCAGATTAATAGATTCAGTAAAAATGGGATATTGAAACTAATGAGGGCAGGCTTGTCTTCAAAGATCTAAAAGTTAAATGGGGTTATAGACAAAACAGTTTTTGAACAAGTGAATAATTTTATAACACACACACTATGGTGGGAGTAAAAAACTGTCTACTGCCTATTTTGAGAGAGACAGCATCACAAGGGAGATCACTAACCAAATAATAACAGCAAACATAACAACAGCTAATATTTACAAAGAACTTGTACCAGGATCTGCTTTAGGTATTTTACAAGTATTAACCCATTTCATTCCTTTCATGAAAGTGCCCTTATTGTCACTGTATCACAAATGGGAAAATAAAAGCATAAGGAAATTATCTTGGCTTGGGTCACAGACCTAAGAAGTAGTAGGAGTGGGATTTAAAGTGTCTGATTCCAGAGATAACAATTTTCTGATACTTCAATCTCGTAAGATTTCCTTAAACTAAAACATAGTTTTTGGTCAGTGCTTTAGTATGATTGTCCTATTGCATAGGTTAGAAGATGTGGGTTTAAATCTGGATTCAGGCCAAAGCCCCAGACTGAGGAAAACAAACAAACACAAATAATGATTTATGATTTAATCAGAGTTCTGCCTTCCAGAAAACTAGTCACAAGGTCACTCTGGCTGCCTTGTTCCTAAGACTAGAAGTGCTGACACACAGATTCAGAGTACTTTAAGGAGAGAAGGGTGAACTGCTAATAAAATCTCAACTCTTAACCTGAGTGGTTAGGAAGCTTAGATATTCATTTATCAATTTCCATCCATCACTGGCTAAGGGCTGCTCCTCTGATATTAATTCCCTGGCATTTCAGACTGACCCCAAGGGAGGGATGAAAGCAAATCTTCAGGTAGAGATTGACTGGGACTGGCAAAAGGCAGCTGTCCCATCTCATGGAACAGTCAGTGCTCGGGGAATAGGGTGAGGCCAGCAGCTGTGTCCACCTCAGGTGCTGAGCTGTGACTCAGGATTTTGGTTTGAAATCATTTATTTTACATTTTTGTTGGTGAATGATGGACTGCTCTCGTATTGTTATATAGCTTCATTGTCTTCTGTGTTCACTTCTACTGCTACACATTGTTTTAGTACTTTAAGTACAATTTTAGGAACTTTTTCCTGTTTCCAATTGCTAACTTCCTCCATAGTTTTAGGAGTCCTTGTGGTAGGTAGAATTTTAAGATGATCCCCAATGACCTGATACAACCTTCTCCTCTTAAGTGTGTGTGGGATTAGACTGTAACTCCAATGGGATGCTATGCCTGCATTTTGCTACATAATAGGAAAAAAGGGACTTTACAGAGGTAATGAAAGTCCCAAATTGGCCTTAAGAAAGAGATAGTCTGGTGGACCCAATTATATCTGTTCTTTAAACCTGGGTCTAGAAGTCAGAGATGGAAGCAGTCAGAGAAGCAAAGCACAAGAATTATTTGATGCACTTTTGCTGACTTGAAGATAGAGGAAGCCACCTGGCAAAGAATACAGGAACATCCAGGATTTGAAAGTTGCCCTGGGATGACCATTAGCAAAGACGTGGGGACCTCAGTCCTGCAACAGCAAGGAACTGAGTTTTGCTGACAATAGTGAGCTTGGGAGATTTTCCTCCAGAGAATTCAACCACAGGATGTTGGACTTCTGACCCTTAAAATCGTGAGCTATTAAGTAAGTGGCTGTTGTTCTAATGCACCAAATTTGTGGGAAATTTGTTCACAACAAGAGATAATTAATATAGTCTTCATTGGAATGATGGAATGTGTTTGGAGTCTTGCTGACACATGGCATGCCTGTGTTGGAGCCTAGCCTAGTTGTGTGACATTGAACAATATGCCCAGGGTCTTCACCTATCTATTTATCACAGTTCTATCCATTTTTTACCATAGTGGTTCTGTTTCAGAGATCCACTGAGAGGTGACTCATAAAGAATTGATTTTTTTGGTATCGTGATTTAACTTTTCATCTAGTCTGGCTAAGCTCCCTGGCCAGCAGGTAAGCTTCTGGAGGCAGAGCAAATTGTCATGTACTTTTAAAAATCCTTTAATATGATTTGGTTAAAAGAGCTACATTTTCACTGACATAAAGTCTATGATTTTTCAAACCCCACAGAAATATACTTACCCACATAACTACACTTGCCACAGTGTTTTCTTTTCTAGTTGCTAGCAAATCGTTTTGAAAACTGGGGGGCAATATACTAGCTCCTGTATACTGAATCTGAAGAAAAGGAATGTGTTTTTTGTTGTGACCTTTACACTGTTGCTACTGTTCATCCTTATCATCATCAACATGAATTACCAAACATAATGAAACAACAAATTTCCAGGATGCATATCAACTTTAGCAACAGATCTCTAGAGAAAAAATAATTGAATGCCAGAACAATGGAGTTATGAGCTTGGGAAATACAAGGCCCATTCACTAATACTCTGATCTTAATTAGTAGATTTTAAAAATTTACCTATTCATGAAACACATACATTATATTAAAAGCAAAAGCAGAGGGTACTTGTCACTAATGGGAGGCTGGAATGAGTTCTATCAACATCCCAAATCCTCATTTTTTCCCATGTATATGATGTGATACGATCAGGAGTAATGAAAAAAAATCTAAAAAGAGGTCGGAAGTCATACTTACATAGGACTTCAAGATATAATTTCCTCACCACTTTCTAGAGTGAGGGCAAGACAGGTAGGTGGTGGGATGAGAAGGAAGGGCTTTGCTGCCTGTGAATCTTTTTTGTTCCTCTCCCTCAAGCAGATACCATCTTTTTCTATATATAAAGACACCATATAAACACACCATTTTTTATACTTTTGTGTCACTTCTGAATTATTGCCAGTCACTTAGCAATTATCCAAGCTGCCATCATGTCCCAGAGCTTCTTCGTGAACCACCTCTTTGCTTTTTCCACTGACTGCTAAAGGGAAGTTCCTCTATTACTGTCGCCTAGAGCCAGCCTCAACCTCAATAAGCCATCATTCAAGCATGAGGGAGACAATTGAGTCATCTTGGCAGGTTTCTACATGCTATTCAAATGTTGAGAAAAAATTCAAAAGTTGAGAAATGGAAGTAAAAAGAAGAGCATATTTAATTCAGTCTAACAAGGCTGTGAGAGAAACTTAAAAGATCTGTTTTGCATACACCTGGCCTCACCACATGTAGCATGAGTGAATCTGAATGAGATATTTATATGCCATTTGAGAGGATTTTCAAAAGCCAAACTTGAATCTAGAGAACTTAGACAAAGCAGCTGAGAGTAATATCTAGTGTGATGCTGGCAGTAGAATATGCAATAAACAGGAAGAACCCACTTTACTTGTACAGCATTCTTTATAATTTTGACATTATGTGCTTATTCTCTATGTCCGCCTTGAGCTCTTCAACCACCTGTGTCTGGCACTTAGTGCTAAGTACATAGTTGGTACTCAATAAATATTTGTTGACTGACAACTCACTAGCTGACAGGTTTAATCAATTAATAAGCCTTTAAAATATCATATTCACTTGGACATCTGCATTATCTCTCCTGCTTTTCAGCTAAAAAAAAAAAAAGAGAGAGAATATAAAACAGGAAGTTCAAGAGTCTTGCTCTAGACCAAATGGTTAGCGGCTGGATCATACTAAGGGCCTCAGACTTTGTAACAAACATCTCATGTAAATGCTCACTCTCTCACCTTCCTGTTTCTTTCTTCTCGTAAGACTAGAACATCCACCCAGATAGATCTTAGTTTCTTCATAGCCAGCTAGAGTTATTACGGTGTCTTTAGGGACTTTCTGTATGCTGGGCCCCTTCTCTAGTTCCCTCAGCAATAAAGCCTTTACCCATATCTTTCCCAGGTGAGTCCACCATCAGACTTCCTTCCTCCAGATTATAAGGAAGGGTTATAAAATAAAGTCTAAATAATTAAGACCACTACAAACTGAACAGGAAGTTCTGTGACTACTGAGTTCACATACTGTCCTAGTAATGAATCCTTGAAGGCAACAATATCCTTGCCACTTCTGGGTTAGTTTATTCAATTGCTCAAACATGCACATACATCATAGACTTTCTAAGACCATCATATTGTAACAAGACAGCCTGGAGTTTAGGAAAGTGAATAAGATCTGGGGGCACACAGATTTGGGTTTGACTTCTAATGCTCCCACTTAATTTCAACCCCACCGCACTGTCTTGATATGCAGATTCCATGAAGTGAGAGATAGGAAGACCCAGAAAGTGGCAGAAGTTATGATTTCCCACATGAGAGAGTATTCTCTCTCACTCACTTTAATCTCAGTAGATAAGAAGTTTGTTTGCAGAGTTCACATTTCAGATTGGGAAGCCAGGTACATTGAGCACACTATGTCTATACAAGAATGTTGCTTGAGCTAATTTAAAAAATATTTTCTTTTACATACAGGTCTCTGGTTACAGAGCTGAGCTTCCCTAAAATTTGAAGAGTAGCCTCATTTCATACCTATTTTGGGGACATTCACGAGGCTGGACCCTCCTGGGTCACAGGAAGCCTAAGAGCCACCATTACAACAGACGCTGCTCGAGGGACAGCCCAACGGCAGTGCAATTTGAGCCTGTGAGGCAACAAGGATTTCTTAATGGGCCATTCTGGTGAAAACACTGCCTGTTTTTCAGGGTTGACTTCCTCTATTATAGAAAGTATTCGGGATACAAGAGGAGAATAAAAGTAAATGTGCTTCCCTCGATACAAAAAGTCACAGTGTAAACATCATTAAACAAATATTCCTGTGTGCTATATTCGACATGGTACTTCACAAGTAGCTCGTCAAACAACCTTGCAGTCAAATGTGCTGTCTTAGGTGGAGAAGGTTATTTGTAAATCTTGTAACCCATGTCTATTGGTAGTTACAACCTACTGGTCTTAGTTTAGTAAATTGAGTGTTGTATCAGTACTCTTAAAGAAAAAAAAATCTTAGGATCAATGTGAAAGTAGTATGACTAGGAAAAATGAGACAGTTAAGGCAAGTTTCATATGTTATTGATGGTTTAGACCACTTTCTTTCCCACAAATATACTTTGATCACCAAATTATGTCTTATTAACTCTTCAACTATAAATTTAACTTATTGTCCAGTGAAGTTCCAGTTCCCCTCTCCAGTCTCACCTCAGACACCCACCCTTTACAATCCCTCCATTCTCTAATAGATTGCTTGCTTCTATCCTCTATAAATTATCTTTAATTAATGTGTGATAATTTAAAAGGTTAGTTGATATTAAACACCTCATTTTATTAAAGGGAGAATCACATACCCAGAGTCACTCATACCCAGTGGAACACATCTGACCAGGGAACCAACCCTGAACTCCCCAAATACTGGCTTCGGTGTGGTCAAGAATGGCAAAAAAAAAAAAAAAAAAAAAAAAGACACGTTCCAAGTTGTGTCCATACTAAGCTCTCAATACGATTTCCTATTTCCTCACCACTTACGCTTTTGCTCGTGCCATTTTATCCATGTAGGATGTTTATATCTCTTATGTACACCCCTGACAGATTCATTTCCTCCTATGTCCATGTGTGATTCCACCTTCTCTAGTCTTTCTTCATCTCCAGCCCCACCTGATATAATTTCTGCTTCCTTTAATCCCCGGTAGCTCTTTATTTGTCATATTCTATGGGAATCAGGCCCCTTTGTATCATATTTATTTGAGTGGGTATGTAGATCCTAAGTTCTTTGTTTCTCATTTTTGTGTAATAATATCAAAAAAATGAATATATCATTTATAGATTATAAAGGTTCTTCCTACATAGTCTTTTTTTTTTTTTTTAACTTCTAGTGTACTACACTTAGGGGCTGACTAAATTGTTGAAGTTATAGCTGATGGGAGCACCCGACATTTGGAAACTCTGAACTCCCTAATTCCATGGAGCCATTACTTGTTAGCTAAATTTACTGCAGGGTAACTCATTTCTTGTTGATTCCATCTGATTGGGATGTTCACCACAGAAGACAGTTCTCCAACTTGAAATTTTTGGAAAAAAGCATCGCATTCTAAGAGGAATCCCAGAATTCATGCCATTCTCATCAAGCCCAGCTTATACAGATGCATGTATATTATGTTGTGTGTGCCTATGTGTACAGGCATGGACGTGTCCTGGATTGCTAGTGTTGGCGGTATAGGTGGATTGGTCCGTTTTAGGTTAAATGGTTGTCCCAGAGAGTTCTACCAACAAATAATATAGAACTAAACTAGAGCATGAGTGGCTCATGGATGTTCTGCAGAGGGTGGAATCCTCACAAACCATAGGTTTGTTTTTTCTAAGAAAGACATTTTGCTTGGCCACCTTTACATTTTGAGGAACTCAAACTTTGTAAATGTTTGCTCTTACCACACTGGAACCCCTGAGGAAGGAGAGCAGATTGCGACAGACTGGCAGCAGGATCAGCGTGCAATTCAAATTCAGGCAGGCTGCAGGGGCCCTGGCCCAGGCCAGGGCTGGCTGTGAGAGGCAAGAGGAAAAGTAGTGACTCCAGGAGGCCCAAAAGGCTCCCTCCACATCCGGGGCCCCAGCTCAAAGCTTGTACAGCAGAGACAAGTGGGTCATCTGCAAAGGGAGGTCCTTCAGAGCCAAGGGTTTACTGGAAGGGCCTGCTGGGACTTTGTTATAATCTGGCCCTTTACCTGAAGCCCAACACATTATTATGAAAAATTATTATGAAAATTTTCAAACGTAAAGAGAATTTGACAGACTTTCACAATGAATACTTTTGCATTCTACCACACATGCTTTATCACAGGTCTACCCAGCTGCCCACCCCTCCTCCGTCCAGCTCATCTTATTTTTGGATGCATTTTGAAGTAATCTGCAGACTTCCCCTTAAGTACTTTGGCATGCATATCATTAATTAGAATTCAATTTAGAAACAGACTCTTTTTAAAGAAGGGTATTTTTAGCACTTAGAATGACCTCAACAGCAACTTAAATTGGTGTGGTGAAATGTTTTGGCATTATAATTATCTGCATAATTATCTCCTTAATACCTAAAAAAGTTGCACATTTTGGAAGGGGAAGTAAAGGGAAATCATCCTCAGTATCAACCTGAAGATGTTAACAGTAATTATAATAATACAGTGTAATTATATACTATAATTACTCATAATTATATTTCTAATAGTTAAAATTAATATTATTAAGCAATTAATGCATGGTTTCAGCATAATCTAACAAATACTATCCTCTGGGGGCAGCCGTAGTTGCAAATATTTTTATTTGTGATGAAGAAAGATCTGGCTGTTCAAGGAAACAGAATACTAAGGGACCCAGGCAGTGTCTGGGGCCTTCGTCTGTTAGGTGAGTAACCAATGTGACTTTGGGGCAAGCTCCTCAAAGCCTTCATACATAGGGAAAGGCTCCATTTCTGAAGATCAGTTCATAATACATTTCTAGGAGCAGGCTCTCTGTGAACAAAAGTGGTAGGAAGGTCCAGTCACCCTGGACCCATGTCTCCACCCTGGCCTTCAGTTCAGAGACAGTATTTGATTTCTCCTTTAGGTTACATCAGGCACTGGTTTTTGGCGCAGGAGACATGCTGCTGGGACTCACTGTCATGTTTTAGTTTGTTCCACCCTGGGAGGCCTAAAGACTCTCGCCCAGGAAGATGCAGAGGAGAAGGTCAGGATACGGTGTAGTTGGGGTTGTCAGAGTATTTATTTAAAATGTGAAAAGGAATAGGGATACTAATGTTAGATAAGAAATGTCAGCCAGTGAACATTGCATGAGGAAGAACTCATACTTACCCCAAGAAGTTTTCGAGTGTAGTAGAAGTTATCTGGAATAGCATAAACTCGATAGAACCAGACAAAGAGGAACACGTTCAGCCCCAGCCATCCCAGCTGCCCAAAGAGAAAAGGGTCGCATCAATGTTTTGCATTTCTTTTTTTAAAGATATTTTATTATATTTTATATCATTATTCCTTTTTTTTAATACAATGTGTGCTTTCTCCTCTCAGGTGTCATCCCCATGAAATTCCCATCACCAAGTCACCCGGGCACCATCACCACAGACCCTGTGCTCTTTCCACTCTCATTCTGGGCTCCTTCCCTCCCCCTCCCCTGCAAAATATCTTTGATTCAGAGTAGTCTTTTTAGTGTTGTCTGGTTTTGTTGTGGTTTTTATTGTTATTATTATTATTATTGCCTTGGTCCCTCACTAGGTTCTCCTAGGTATCTCCTGTAAGTGAAACCATCGATACTTTTCTTTTTCCTTCTGACTTAATTCCTTGAGCATGATCGATGGCATGAGTTTTTCCTTTTTGATTGCTTTTTGGCATTTCAACAGGTCCAGTTCATACAAGAACTGGATCAGGGTCAGGACTTCCCACATCCAACCTTGATCCCATGTAGTTACCTAGCTGGTGGAAACAATGTGAGGCCAGCTCTTTCCTAGAAGGCTCATGCCACTTCTCTGTAATTCACCTATCTCCCCTGTGTGCTCCCCAACTTTTACTGCTTAGTTATTCTGCCATGTTATTATCAGCCCATGCCCTCTCCCTTCTTTCTCTTTTCTTCATAACCTTAAAGATCTGTCACTGTACAACTCCGCACACGAGCGGGCCTGCGTTCTGCTCCCATAGCTGCCTCTCACATCCTGAACCACAAGGCATCCCACTCAGGTCGTGGTGTCTCCTCAGCGACAATATCAAGCCTTTAATTCTAGTTAGTAAGTGTCATGTACCGTTTGAAGGAGGGGTTAGCATGCATGACTAAAGGAGTGAGGAGCACTCACTGCATCAAGTGCTGACACTCCCTGGCCCTTTTATCTCCATCGTGATCTCTTCAAAATGGCTTTGAAGCTTTTAAAATTCCACAGATAGGTCCTCCCTGGTGGCACAACGGGTTAGGATGCAGCCCTGTAAGCTGGCTGCGGCTGCTTCAGTCTGAGCTCCATTGCTAGTCCTACAGGTAACCCACATGGCGCGGCAGACCTCTCCTGACATGCCCGCTGCTCCCCTCAGCAGTGTACTTTGTCAATCTGCCTTCGTGGTTCTGCCTGTTCTGCTCCCCACTCTGTCTCTGGTGAATCCTCTCACCACCTCTGCAACTCTGGCTCGTATCCCAGTTCTGTATGCGTCAATAAATCTTTTTAAAAATTCCACAGACACGTGAGAAAGAAGCTGCCAAACTAACTTCTTCATTTCCTAACCTTCTCATTTGTTCTTCTTGCTTTCCAAGTTCTGATTTTTACATTCAAGTATATCAAGTATATAATATAGGAGGTCAGTTTCTTGGGGAAAACTGTAGTAAGAGCTACATGTTTAAACTTATTTTTTCTCAACAGGATTAATATGTTCTTAAAATAGTGATAAAAAATCAAGGTCACAGCTCCGAGTCTTCAGAAAAATTCTGTATTGCATTAGAAAGTTGTTTGGGTGCCAGTGTCTTTTAAAAGACAAAATATTTGCTGTTCTTATTATGTCATTAATTTCTAACTCTGAAATTCAAAGACTCCAATATTTCAGGACAACTTCTGTCAAAGGTTCCATTTGTAAATGTCCTTTTTGACATACATATTATGCTTTCATTGGCTATTTGGAATGGCTATTTATAAATCGCATTTCTGTCTATCCAGTTGTTCATAATTGTTCACTGACACTATCTTAAAAATATAATTGATCTTTATTATGCTAAAAAAAGCGGAGAAATGTTTATTTGAACATTTACTTACAAAGAATGTTTCTCAAAGTACATTATATTGATCTATATACATTTAATGAAATATCTTATACACTGTATATATGAGAGTAGGTATTTTTATTTCCTCCCCTGAATTTTTGTAGCCCTCATAATGGCAGAGAAGTTAAAGTATATTTTTAAAGATGAGAATAATTATTTTTGGTGTGATTATTGAAATAAAGTCCACTTTCCCATACATGAGCCAATCTTGTACTTGTTATTTGGAAAATGGCATTAACTTTCCATTGGTTATTTTTAAAGTGGTTTACACACAGATGAAAAGTAGAGAAATTTGCTCCTGAGCAAACATTAATAAACAATTCAATCTCACAGATCACTAGCATACACCCTCTGTGAAGTACTGGGTAATCTTGTTCTTAAAAACTCAAGATCTAAACTAGGTGAAGTAAGTCCCCAGGTAAAGCCTTTCCATTAATAAGTTTGAAAGAATGGACTTGATCTGCTTATAAATAGACTTAACGTTCACACAGTAAATCAGCTGCAACACAATTTCTCCAACAAACAAAAAGCTTTGCTCTATTTAATTCCTAAGAGAAACCAGACAAGTAAGATAATTGATAATTTATCCTTATTGTTACTTACGACAACAAAGATGGACAGTCCCTCATTCACAAACCAGTTCCCCATGGTGGCAAAGGTTCAGTGACTTGTGTCTGACTTTCTTTTCTGCTATGCTTCTTCTTCCCAAGAGGAAATGAAAACAGCAGACTTGGGGCAATCTGTTTCCTTTTCTATTATCAGAAATTAGCTAATCATTGGTTAACTGAAGTTTGTTTTGTATGCATACACTTACATGTGTATATAAATGATGGTAGTTATGAGTTGATACACGTGCACATATAAGTATATACACACAAAGATACGCATAAAATCTCCATATATAAAAAGGTTCTATTGAGCAAGTTCTACAGAGGAGGAAACATTAATAGATCCGGAGCAGTAAAATTACTTGGCCAAAGTCACACAAATAGAAAACAGTGGAGTTGGGAATTACATCCCAAACAATTTGGTTATAATTTTAATTATGATAGTAGGTTACCATGACCTTACCAATGCCATAAAAAAATAATGGCAGACACAGCTACAGGAAATTAAAATATAGTAAATATATTAAATGTTTGGATGATCCTAGTATTCCCAAGCAGACATGACATTCTTTAGACTAAGGATGTAAACAGAAAAAAAGAGATGTCGCAGATGTCAAACCCAGGCTTGGCATTATTTTCCCTGACTGCTCCCCAGTGCCTTGGGCATGAGAGGGGATAGGAAGGTGGGGTGCTATCCTCACCATGAGATGAACATTGATTAATGCCCGAGAGTGGTTGTACAAGGGTTAGCGTGAACATAGAGGTAAAGGAAGAAACTGGCATCTCAAAGGGAATGGGAGGAGGTTTGAAGCTGTACCCCAGAAAGAATACAGCTTTTTCAATGAATGGCTGATCAATAAATTTTTTTTAAAGCACAAAACAAACCAAAAGAGAATGAGAAGTAAAGAGAAGAGAGTCATGAAGTCCTTTGGTTGTTGTCTATGAAATATCCTCCAGAGTTATGGTAATTACTGATTTTATTCCTTACTTTTTAACAGCTAAGGAGTGGTATTGAGCTGCCACTTTCTCCATTGCTCTTAGATCACGTGTAACCCACAGAAAGGGCAGTGGCCTATGGCTCCACTCCACACCGAGATGGATTCACAGAAACCTGGTTTGACAATCAAAATATGTGCCAGTTATCTGCTTCTTTACTCGGAGATCTAGTCTCTACCCTTCCCGTGCTCTGTTGGCTTCAGAGAGAATTATATTTGCCAGCCTCCTGGGCCCTCTGCTGTTTGCTGTATTCAGCCAATTTAGAGGATAAGGAGCAAGGGGGAAGTAAGAACGCTCCCTCCCTTAGCTTTCTGCAACTAGAGGCACGCCTGAAGGGGCTGCATTTCCAGTAGCAGCTGGCTCCGACCAGTTGGCACATTTCTCTGTGACATGAGCTCCTGCGGGCCTTCACCTTGGCAGTTCTAGCTCCTGCGAGAAGGCCCGGGCTTTGGGGTTTGAGTTACACCACCTGCTCCCAGTTTCTCTCCAACCCCCTGGGTGCCAACCACTTCCTGTAGCTGTTATTCCTTATGTTGCCATTATACCCAGACAAATAGTGTTCTTTGCTTTCCCATCTTCCATGTCACAACCCCTTGATACCACAGCCCCTCTGTTGAAAACACGGTGGCTTCCATTATTCTGACTGGACTTTGACAGATACAAAAAGTAATCCTTTTCTCATGTAATGAAAGTGAGACGTGTATGCCTGATGTGGCAGAAAGCACTGTAAAAAACTCTGTCCTTCCTATCTCAGTCACTCTCTAATTCTCCTCCCTTCCCTCTCGCCCAGTCTACGAGCTCATCTTCCCTATCCTGTCTAAATCTTCAAATCTCTCCCACATGTTTTCATGTACCTCCAGCTACCTGTGCTCTACCAAGAACGCAATGGAAAGGTGACCATGAATATTCACACCCTAGGAAATCATGTGTCTTGTTTTGTGTGAACTATTTAATGAACATTTTCTAACTCCCTTTTCCTCCCTTTATAACTTGAGAAGAAAATTCAAAAAAGAAAGAAAGAATATTCCCTGTGGGTAATCAAACATTCTGTCTTATAGTTGTTTTCTTCTTTATAAAAGTAATCACAGGGCTGGGAGTAGAGATTTCCTGACAGCCATAAGAACCTCAATCAGTTTCACAGCTGGAGGAAGAGAGATCAGTTGCATTGAAGAGTGAAATCTTTCTTTTATGGAAAATAACTTCCTTTTTGAGAGCATTTCTCAAGTAAATTGTAATATGCATTACTGTTGGGAAGACAGGTAGAGAGTCTGATAAGGGAACAACCGATGTTGCTTGACTGGTATTGACCCAACATGGAGAATGAAGAAAATGAAACTTCGATGTATTAGCTAACAGCTTTTCTTCTCCCAGCCACTTTAGCTTCCACTGCTCCTAAGCTGTTAGTGTCAAGCTAGACTGCAGTGAACGTAAGAAAGTACTCTCCACTCCCAGGAGGTGATAATAACCAACACCCTCAGGCTTGTGCTTGGAATACTATGTATCTGTGGCTGAGAAAATAAGAGAGAAGCAGACCCAAGTTTCCATAAAATCCCTTGACTTTGTATTGTGAATATGATCCCTTCTTCATATCTCAAATTAAAAAAAAAATGTAGGCTCCTAATATAGTCCATGATGGATGTGTGACTATGTCAAAGAAAGGGAAGTATATTACTACACAAGATTTCCAGTGAGTTTTGTTCCTGGAGATGATGATTTCTGTTCCCTTTATCTCTGTTGTGTCTGTGCTGCTCTTTCCAGAACTGCTCCTACTCTTACTGCCTCTATCAGTTATGTGGCAACATTCCTTGCCTAACAGTCACCAAGGAGAGGACTCCATTCCCCTGGGCACAGTGATTGTCTTACAGGTGGGCACCTGACCCAACAAAGATCAGTTAAGTTCTTTCCATGAGGAGGAAGTTGTTAGGGACTGTGGGGGGTAGTGAATGAGGCTTTTCTTTCCTTGTGAGCTTGCATGCCTACTGCCTCCACAGACCAGCTCTATCAACTTGTATTAAGAAACTGCATAAGAATGATGCTAACACAACAAAATCAGATCAGCAGCTGGTGAGAAATGGAGAGATTTACAGACAAAGATGATGACAATACTTGAATTCTTAGATAGGATCTGCCTGACTCTTGGCCAACCCAGTCACTCTTGCAGATTGGGTTTCCTGGGAAACAGATTCTAAGAGAGAGATTAGTATTGAGGAATTGTGTTATATAACACCTTTGCAGTAACTAATTGGGGCAAGGCAGGAATGAAGAAAGCGAGGGTGGGCAGAAGTTGAATTAGTCACAAGGCGCTAGCAATCACATCAGGAGATCTGAAACTAAATGAGATCACTCTAAATGACAGTGGACAAGATGGCTATAAGTATTTTCACTGAGACAATTCTTATAGGGGGCAACAGCAGGGGCAGTTAAGTTCTTTATTCTTGAAGTTCAACCTAGTAGGCAGTTTGTAGTAGCCAACCCAGTTACCATTAAGCCAACCCAGTGGCATTAATTCGCACCACACTACTTCCTGCCTGAAAAAAAAAAAAAAAGCCAGTTTGAATTGGCTTTCTACCACTTCCACCTAGAAGGGTTCTTACTGAAGAAAAGAGCAAGGAAACCCACTTTTACTCCAGAAACATAGGTCAGTAAAAGGTTGAATAGAGCTGCTGGAATCCAGATGTTCTATTGTCTGTTTGAGGGAGAAAATAGCAAAGTAAAAGAAGAAGCATTCAGGGAGGAAAAGGCAATTTACTGACCTAGGTGGTTAAAAGCATTAAGAACATGGCATGAACCAGTTTCATTTCATAGACACTGAGAATGTCTGGTGATGAAGAGTTAAATGTTTAACTTTTCATATCAAATGTGGCTGAATAAGAAAGAAACTGTGGAATGATTACATGTGTTCTCTCACTAATCATTTCCTGGGGAACAAGAGTTGAGGACCCTTGATGGCTTCTGAGGTAGGAATTTCACAAGGCACCAGAATCAAGCCAGCAACAGAGTTCATTAGAATGGAAGCACTGGACACTGTGGAGCAAGGCAGCCTGGAAGTGGGAGCGCTGCCCAGAAGCTCTGGAACAGCTGCTTTGTGTGGCTTCTTCTTTTTGGGTTGGCAGGGGTCCCTCATAATTATGTATAGCTTGTTTACATCATTTGTGCAAATCCTGGAATCTGAGTTCTCTCTCTCACTCTTTTTTTTGAGTCTCTGGGGGAAACTGCCTTGAAGGAGCTGGAGGTGGCCTGCCATCAAATGTCAAAATTGCAAGATTTAGCAAGCAATTGGGTGTAGTACAAGGTTGGGGGAAGGGTAACTATGCCAGTTACTAGGGCTTTTAAATATTTGGATTCTTTCCAGGTCCCCTGGCCCAGCTGGGTTCTATCTGGTTCTTGAGACCAGGTATTGGAGCCAGATGAATTTGGAATGTAGGACCATGTCTGTCCTCCCCTGGGGGCGTGTGTTAAGGAGTCTGCTTTCTCTCCCTAATACATGAATTTGAATCTAAAACTTTTCAGCATGCCAATATTTACAATAGGTAAGATATGAAAACAACCCAAATGCCCAGAAATAGATGACTGGACCAAGAAAACATGGCATCTATCCACAACGGAATACTACTTGGCAATCGAAAAAGATAAACTCATGCTATTTGCAGCAACATGGATGGAGCTGGAAGGGATTATGCTTAGTGAAATAAGCCAGAAGGAGAAAGAAAAATATTGGATGGCTCATCTTACAGGAGGAATGTGGGGGAACTAAATAAGAGACTAGTAAAAAATAATTATAATTAATTTTAAAAACCAAAATTAATAGGCATCTGTTAATCAGAGATACTGCAGGGGAGGGGAGGGAATGTATTCTTACACAAGAGACTGTGGTGATGATGCCCGGGTGAATTGTTGGTGGGGATTTTACGGGGACTACACCTGAGAAGAGAAGGCATGTATTGCACAAAAAAAGAATGATGTAAAATATACATTTAAAAAAAATTCAGCATGCCTCCTATAGTATTTGTTTTCTGTTTTCTTCAAAAAATCTAATTTTACAGATGTACCTCG